TATTTTATTTATACAAAGTGCATGTGAATGGAAATGCACAGTGCACAGTGGCCATTACCAACTGCTATTGTGATGAGATATTCTTAAAGTATTTATCAAGTCGCTATGATATACTAAGTCCTACAGAGATCTCGCTTTCTGCATTGTTCAATAACATACGAGTCAGGAGTGGAGAATCGGACATGACGCTAAGATATTTGTTTACATCAAGAATTTACTTCGTAAGCCAAGTTACTAGATGAGCCTTTGTATTCCCTTTTTAATACAATTGTATACATGAATATATAAATAACAGAGAGCGAGAGAAGAAGAGAGAAAGAGAAAGAGAGATAGGAAGAAAGAGGTGCAGGGAAACAAACTTTTTAGAAGAGATAACTTACAACTGTATGAGTGAATACTTGCACTTGTTAATTTTGGAATGTTCTGTCAGATGTCGCGTTAATTAAACTTTGATTGAATCGCAATATTGGCGTCAACAACAATTGGGAACATTTGTCTCACCGTCGATAGTAATCTTAAAAGTGTTTACTTTACATTCATGTTTATTTCGTTCGAATCTGTACTCTAGTTGCAACAAGAAACAAATGTAAACAAGATAACCGTTATAATTTGTTGTAATAATATTCTCTTCAAATTAAAGTTCGCTTACGTCTTTTATGTTCAGCGGGAATTTCCGCACTCGACTCCAATGTTTCTTTGTAGTTAGAAATAAATGAACGTACATAAACCTTTTGGCACCGCCTGATTCAATAAGAAGGAATTGATTAAAGGACTAATATATGTATAAATTTTTTTTTACTTGTGGTTTTGCATTTTTGACTTGTGGTTTTAGGTCTTCGATTTGTGGTTTTGAGTCTTCGACTTGTAGTTTCAAGCCTTCAACTTGTGGTTTTTAGTTTTCGACTTGTGGTTTTGACTATGGTAAAAGTGTGAGCTAACAGAAGGAATTTGAAAGAAAATGTAGATTTTTTTTGAAGATGGATATATAACAGAGGGTCATGCTGACCTTACACGCTGACCTCGTCACTGCGACATTCATTGAGAAACTCTATTTCAAGTTGCATTGAATACCAAGCATGCCATTGACCCGGGGATCTGAAGACTGAACTAGATCTAGAGTAAGGAATATTTTCAATGGGTTGAATGTTCCCCTTCTCTCTGTTATTGGTATCTACCTGAGTTATGTTTTCTGATAAAGACTGACCTTGAGAAGGTCGATGATTTTAGGATGTTACTAGTTGGAGTCAATGTTTTGTTGAATGCCCTGGAAGTGAGGTGTTTTTTTTTCGCTATTTTAAGTTGTCTCTTAACTTGCATTTTTTGTGTAAGTGTATTTCTAAGTGTATGTGTGTTGCTAATTGAATAGGCTGTTCAAATACATGTTAGTAATAAACGAAAGATGTTCAACCTTTTCTGATTTTGTAAACACAAGTTCCTTGAAGCACTATAGTTGGGGGCAGGGGGATATTGGTAGGAGCTTGTCTATGAAGTACCTTGTCAGTTTTACCACTTCTTTTCAAACAGTTCTTGTAATTAAAATGTTTTCTTAAACAAGAGGATGGAACAACGATGGACGTCAGGGATATTTAGGATGTCCGAGATATTTAGGATGTCCCAGATATTTAGGATGTCAGAGATATTTAGGATGTCAGAGATATTTAGGATGTCAGAGATATTTAGGATCTCAGAGATATTTAGGACGTCAGAGATATTCAGCACCTCCAAGATATTTATCAGTTTTATGCGGACTGTAGTTTGAGAAGTGGATTTGTTTATTCTGTTAGTGTGTGTGTGTTTATTTCGATGCTTCTTGCAAATTAGATATTTAAAAAATCTTTAGAAATACAATAAAATGCTGATAGTACACATGATAAGAGAACGGTTAAATACAATTTCTCTTATAAGAAGACAAACTCTTATCATGGGTTCAAAAAACTGGGACCTGGACAAGGATCTCGAAAACTGCTCAAACGATTTTCGGATAAATTTCGGCAGTTAATGTAGGCCTATATTTTGGGGAAAAAAAATACTGGCTAATTGGCCTTACAGTAAAAACTCTGAATTGACCGTTATAATTTTTCAAAATATAATCATTTTAAATTTAAATGTGATCTTTTTTGAACATACGTCATTGGAATTGAAATTCCCTCATGCATTCAATAAAGAGTTCAATAAGTATATAGAAGATCAGGATCGTCATCTGTAGAAATCATTCGCTGGACTGCTTAAATTAGCTTGTGACAATATACATGTTTATAATCCTATAATACTTATATGAGTTATTAATTTACAGTATCGTTAAGTAGATCCTGTTAAGTAATATAGCCTGGCTACTGCCTTTGAATGTTTTGAAATCTGTATCTGTATCACCAAAGTAGAATTTTCTATATTCATGATGTAGGTAGTCAGGATTTTTATTTTTGTCGGGCGGGGGAAACGGGGTGGTGATGCGCTGTATTTTTTCCTTTTTTTAAAAATCTAGTATTAATTAGTTATTAAGAGTGAAGTAAACGCTCTTACAAACGTTATCCACTTCATATAGGCCCAATATATGGGGCAAAGATCATTATATAAAAATAACTTTTTTTATATTTTTTGTTTTTCGTTCCATTTGTCTCTTCAGTTTTTTACGTTTTTTTGTAAGTCGCTATTTTTTGTATGTTGACAAATTTATGACTAGAAAAGCGACCTTGTCAAACGATGCTTTCCTGTTTGTTGCTATAGGTCTGTAAAGATCTTACATCATGTTTGTATAGTAAATAAATTATTTTGTGAAAGTCAGAAAACTGAATGATTAGTTAGGATTGTTAGGATTGCATATTCTGACAAAGACGGGTGTCCTGCTAGTATTTTCTAAAATAAAGTATTCGACTTTCGTCAACAAGATCAAGTTTAAAAGTAGATGTTGGTATGGTCTAGATAACTCTTGTATTGCTTGGACAAAGTGTTTTTTGTGAGTTATACAATCCTGGGAATTTTCTTAGTCTGCAGATTCCTTCTATTAGTGAATCTCATGGCTTGGATCAGGTGTCTATTGATTGTGAAAAGTATTTTAAAAAGTAGAAAATATCAATTTGAAGCACGTCTCAGAGTATTCAATGAAAAGTAACAATTAAAATTACAAAAATATAATGCAAATCAATTCTAGTTTCTCTATCATTAAAAGACCATCTCCCAGCCCCTTTTTTTCCTTGAACTCTTGTGACTGATTACTGTTGTGACTGATGACTGTTGTGACTGATGACTTGTGACTGATGACTGTTGTGACTGATGACTGTTGTGACTAATGACTTGTGACTGATGACTTGTGACTGATGACTTGTGACTGATGACTTGTGACTGATGACTGTTGTGACTGATGACTTGTGACTGAGGACTTGTGACTGATGACTGTTGTGACTGATGACTGTTGTGACTGATGACTGTTGTGACTGATGACTGTTGTGACTGATGACTGTTGTGACTGATGACTCTTGTGACTGATGACTCTTGTGACTGATGACTCTTGTGACTGATGACTAATGTTACGTTGAAGAAGTAAACGTAAAGTCACGAAGTCTGCAGACGTGAATGTAGGGAGCTGTTTAATTTCCCGCTTTTTCTTGCTGCACTTTCCTTCTGCTAGCTGGCAACTGTCTGCAGTTCAGGTGGTTGACAGGCCATTGGAGGGGAGCTTCAATCAGCTTCATGCAACTTAGTTTTAACTCTCATGACAGTTGTGAAGTTGGTGGATATATTTAAACTCACGCCATTATATCCCAACTGTAGTCTACCACTAAGCAGACGTCTGTGTACCTCAGCGCTACACGCTCAGTCAACTGTTTTATCTTTCGATGAGTTGCCAGTGAAACAGCCATTTAGTATATCTTGTGAAATTATTGTTTAGTAGTCATTTATTTTTGAGCATTGTGTATTATTGGCCATTATTTGTGTTTTGAGCAACCAGCATTTGTCTAGTATTAATATTACGTGTTTGTGTACCTACTAACAGGTTTAACGTATACACATACAATCGGTATGAACCACACGTATGCTGGCTACATTGTTCCCCCATACTTCTGCTTCTGACACCAGTAATACTAGATCCTACAAGGAAGTGAATCTCATTCCTTATTTCTCTAGTTATCCAACGTGAGAACCCATACCCCCTTTGGTTAACCCAAAAATATGCACGCGCCATTTCCTGGCCTCCCATTTCCACTCGGAGTTGGCAAGTAAGATCGATTCTGCGTCAGACACTGGGCTCACACAGAGCGCGCTTGTGGATGAGTGCCTTGCCAAGGTCAAGGTCAACTTATCGATCGTCTGGCAACCAGCCCGGCCCGGCCACTGCTTGATATCCTGGTAATAATCACAACACTGGAAGAGAGAGAGAGAGAGAGAGAGAGAGAGAGAGAAAGATTTAAAAAATGGAGGAAGAAAAAAAGTAAATTAAAGTCTGGAATGTAAAGGAGAGGTCTGTGTAAGCCAGACTTTGCTGAGAAGGTAGAGAAGGAAGATTGAATTCTAGTGCCAGAAGTTAACAAGGATGTGTACCCAAGTTAATGAAACAAGAGCTTATTGCTGATGGCACAAGTTAGAGCAGGCCACGCGCATTAAATGACTTGTTTTTCTTAGTAATAAGGAAATAACTGAAAATCAATCAATTCCTTGTGATATGTAGTTGAATTTGAAAGGCGAACAAATTCAAAATGACATATCAATGTGTATCTGCAGCCCACGACCTGAACTTTGCACGTTGCATACAGGCCTAGGATCGCTCTGTATGTGGGACTGTTTAATTCATAGACAAACATGGATATCTCTTGGCATTACCCTTAATGAAATAGCCAGCATTCCTTATATAATTACGTAACCTACTGTACTGACAGTTTGGTTTAAGTATGTCATAAAAGAAAAAAAAAAGTGATAACCTCAAAGCTTAACTAAAACGAACAAGAACAAACAACATACAAACAACATTGTTTGCACATTTAAATAAAGTCCATTAAGACCAATGATGATAAAGCCATGATTTATTTCCAATGTTTTTACAAATCTGTTTTCATGTCTGTACAAAGTGCGGACAAACATCCATACTTGGTTGACATCACATTGAGACATCAAATTAGAAATGGGGGTGTGGGGGCGTGGAAGTGGTGCTCCTATAAATATGAAAGTAAATAATCATAACATTGTGGCTGCAGACCAGTAACCACCACTGTAACCTTGCTATCACCATCCAATAGTGTAAGCCTACTGGTTCGAGCAGAAACATTTGACTAGAAACAAAGACAATAAGTAGAACTTGGAGGCGAGGCCTGCAGGCAATAGCCTCATTCAATCCAGTGTACCGCCACATCTCTCTAATACATACATCCCAGAACATAAAGAAGACAGACACATTGAACGCCAAGAGATGCAATTCTCTTTTCTCATGGTTAAATGCATTGACCTAAATAAGACCATTCCATCACGTTATAACATCAACCAGTACAGCAGAAAGCGGTCCATTGGACCTAACACTTTTCTATGGTATTTCAGAATCTGACAATTACATATATAAATCACAACAAAATGACCAGTGGCTACAATTCAAAAAGTGGAATCATCTTCAAAGTCGTACAAACACGTTTCACCATTAGTTGATCATGTATATGAAAGTAATTCCTAGTCCAGCACTGATACTAGTTGACAGCCCTGCAGACACTGTGTATCAACACTATTGGACTATCCAATGGTATGTCTGGTAACGAGAAGAGAATGGTGTAAGTCCAAACAAGTGATGGGCGAGCAACAAATGAAAAGGGGGGGGGGGGGGGCAAGTGTGAGCTGTAGTACCAATCCAGGGGGCTAATGATCACGATGTTGGCTGGAGGTGGGGAGGGGAGACCAATGAAAATCGATAGCACTACGCCACGACATGACGTGACGGCCAGATGGGCTATCTCCCAGTGGGTGGAAACACAGGTGAAGGAGACAAAACCTCTCAAATCTATGGCTGCTATGACGTCATGTCAGCCAAGCTACACTTACACAGAAACACGTGGTTACAGAATGTGACAGAGCAGCATCTTTAGGAGCTGAATCTGGATACGCTACCTTACATTAATTGAAACTTTGTACGACCAATGAACTGACAGAGAGAGCTAGACCCAGAAAGAACTGACAGAGAGAGCTAGAACCAGAAAGAACTGACAGAGAGAGCTAGACCCAGAAAAAACTGACAGAGAGAGCTAGACCCAGAAAGAACTCACAAGAGAGAGCTAGACCCAGAAAGAACTAGAGAGCTAGAGCCAGAAAGAACTGACAGAGAGAGCTAGACCCAGAAAGAACTGACTGAGAGAGCTAGACCCAGAAAGAACTGACAGAGAGAGCTAGAGCCAGAAAGAACTAGAGAGCTAGACCCAGAAAGAACTGACAGAGAGAGCAAGAGCCAGACCTAGAAAAAGTCTGAGTTGTTGTTTGAAACCAAAAAAAAAATGTTTAGAGTCTGTTGATGAGTTGAACACTTGTTTAAACAAAAATAGTCATCCATATTGTTTTTCTATTTAATACCTACATGACAATAACACAGCGACGTGAACGTGGTTATATTAATGACCTCAAGACACAGTGACTGTCTCAGTGACCACACGGTTCTTAGGTAGACCAAGTGAATGGCAACTAGGTCAATAACCAATCCTGCCTGCTCGTTATCTTGGTAAACTTCCACAGCCTAGGGACTACCTCCGTGCCAGTGTCGACAACCAATCAATAGACATCATTAATACCAATGTATGTCTACAATGGATACGATCTCCAGTACTCTCCCTCTCATAAGACATGAATTACACAGATGCTGTTATCAGAGAAAGCTGTTTTGTACCAAAGTAAGATAAACAAGTGAAATCTACTCCCAGTGTCTTTAATAAGCTTCAATCACAACCACTCTCCAAGATCAACCTGATAAATCTTACGTCCTTCTATGATGTCAACATTCGTGATAAGACCAACTTGTTTAAATACCAAAAGATGAACAAAACTGTTGTCTTCAGAGTAAACCCAATCATAAGACTATGTTTCAGTCCTGCACGGAAGTGGCCAATCCCAAAGCTGATGTATTTCTTATAAAGTAACAACAAAACATGATACAATGTCCATCCAAACATTTAAGAAGCACTGTCAATCTTGTGCCTTCTAATTTGAAAGTAGACATCTTATAGCATGGAGCAAGTACAGCAGTAAGACAAAAACCAATAGGGAAGAAATGTGAAGAGACAGACACTGAGGAAGTCACCATTACACCCAACTAGTTGCTACAACGTCTGAGTGCCAGGAACAAAAGATGTGGCGCCACCTGTCTCATGAAACCATCGGTCAGCGGATCAGAACTTCTGGTACAATAATAACAAGAAGCCTAAGCACATGTCTGTCTGTTCGTTGACAGCATACTCTGTGTTTCAATGAACAAGCAGGAAACATATGATTGAGTTGAGATGAAACCATTGGCCAGTATGTTAGCAACTAACCATAAAACGATGGTTCACATCAAAAATACAATGACTACAAGAGATCATTTACCGCAAGAGAAAACGTCCTAATAACCTCGAGCTAAACCAAACTGTTCTTTCTGGAACATTCTCTTACTCCATTAGAACAAGTCAATGCTAGTGTCAGAACAACTTAGAAACAAGATAACGCGAGGGAAAAAAACAAAACGTTTCCACACACACACACGCACGTACTGCATACGTCATTTGCACAGACCGGCGGGCTTACAGCTAACAAGCAATACACAATACACGCCTACACATAATACACTTTGGATCGCTGTGAGTATATATAAAGTTCTGGTCTGCCCATAAATCAATTCATCTGCTAAATACATCATCACCTTATTTCTGTTTGGGTTTATCAATGAAATGACACCGCGTGCCACTTATTTTCAAACAATCAGTTACAAGCATAAATTTTAACAATGATAAAGGGAAAATTAGGAAATAGAAACAAGTGTCTTCCTCACCCCCTAAGTCTTGCCGATCTGACGTCAGTAGCTAGTGGGTTATTAATGTGAACACAGCTATTAGAAGCTAATCACTTAGGAAAAATATACAAATATTCTACTTCCGGGTCTAGAAGTCATACAGACAAACTTTTCAACATGCGGCCTCACATCTTGATGAACCGGCCCTTCATGTGCCGAGGTTTCATTCCTCATTAAGTATTAACCAACGTGGCATGTTGAAATACCATACATCAACAAAACAAAGGCGTGTGTTCCAGGCCACATTTCCTGCAGCCCTAGGGATCATGTGACAGGCCATCAAGACACAGGGCTAACAGAAAGCACACACTAAAGCAGTGATACAGGGATACATTAAATAACGAGTATAATAAATAAATAAATAGAAAGGTTCTTTGGACAACTTATGAATAAATAGTGTAGTCTTGGGTTAAAACAGTAGTACTAATGACATCCTTTAGTTCTTGGACAAGACAATGCAGGTCTTCCAAACATTCACCAAGATGAATAGGGCTAGCAAAGAAACAATTGCTAGAGTACAGGAGGTGCTGGACTGTTCATTCTGACACAAATTGGTTGAGAGAGAGAGAGAGAGAGAGCAGGATCTATACAGAGACACGAGCGAGGAAGAAATAAAAAAAAAAACAGGAGAAAAAGAAAGACAGAAAGCGATAAAAACTTAAAAAAACCAGATGAAAAAAAAAAAGTATAGTGCTATAAAACAACAACAAATGGGGCCTTTAAAAGCTGATTTTAAAAAGGGGAAAGGGACAATCGTGGACAAAGCCGTTATCGTCTATGGTCCTTAACACAGATTTAGAAAGTTTTCCTTGGGTCAAGTTTAGAAAGGTAGGAACATGTTCCCTTTAAAAACATGATAACATGAACTAGTTGAAGACGTTGTCACTAAATAAGTTCATTTCTTAGTAATACTTCGGAGGCTTCTTTATGTATTAGTTTTGATCAAACAGAACAACAAGTCTACAATATCAATGGCCATTTACATACTGAGTATATTAAACTAAACGTTTTAATGGTCTTTGACAAAGTCTCTGAAAAGACTTACTAACCTGACACAAATAAAACAATGCTATGTCCCGAGTGCATAAGGAGGTACCTAGTTCCCCTTGACTATTGTTTAATGTATGAAGTCCACAACTTTGCCAAGGTGTATTGCTAAATAAATTACAAGAAAAAAACAAGGTGTTCATTTGGATCACAGTTTCTAAATGTCCAGGAATGTGTTTCACAGGTAATGCTGTAGACGTGCTGGAACTGTTCTGTCTGTACATGAAAGTGGTGGACTGGATGACTCTCGTATTGATCAGACTGAACCAATGTCAGAGAGTCTCAAGTCTAATCTAACTAGATGCTGCTCCTGCTACAACAAAAGACCCCACCCCCCATCCACAAAAAAAAGTACAAGTGAATTGAAACTTGATTGTTGCTATCTCCTAAATGTTGCAACCACCTAGATGAGTTTGTCACGTGACTAAACTGAAGTAGTCAATAACAGCATCCCTTTATCTCTAATACTGCACATCATTGGCTAGACACGTTTTGGCCACTGACAGGTTCAATAAAGACTAGAATAAGAACAGGTTACACCAAAGATAATACTAACTCCATTCCAAGAGATAACAGCCCATGCAGTGGCACATAATGAATACAATCTACAAACAAGAAAGGGAAGGGAGGCGTGGAACCAAAAGACAACAAAATAAGAGCATCATATAAAATAACGTATCACAATATTATTTCAGTTAGTGTCTTATCCTTGACCTGAAAGGTCAATGTCAACAGTGATATAGTAACAAATCAAGTACAAAGCTTCTTTCAAAGTACTAAACATGGCAGTTAAGTCCAGACAGAATTCACTCATGTAACTCCGAGTACCAACAGATGTTCACGATTTAGATGAAGACTGGGAATAATCCAAAGGCATGGCATCTGTATCATAGTGGAGATCAGGAAACTTGGGATGGGATTGTGAGGGCAGTTTAAACCCGTTGAACAGAAGGTCAGCTGTGGTGTAACCGTAGCAGTGGTTCATCAACAGCTCAGAGTCCGATGGTCGTCTGGTCTCGCGAGCTGACCGCTGATTCCCAGTGTTGGGCGAGCCGCACTCACTCCCTGCTCGTAGGTGGTTTCGGCTGGATCCATTTTCTACGGGTGCACGCGAACCAGCGGTGGCGGAGCTGTAAGCCCTGTACTGGGGTGTGAGGTGGTTATTGAGACCACTGTCCACGATGATAGGATTTCTATTGATGTCTGATATTTTTATAGTTGGTACTCGCTGTCTCTCACCTCCCCCAGCAGCGTACACACTCTCTTTAGAGGACAGGGCTGGAGATGACAGGGTCCTGGAATTATGTTTGTCTTTATTGCTTTTGCCCTTTTCCCCACTGTGGTGACCACTTAGTCCAAATGGACTTGCCGCCGGAGCAAAGATATAGTGGTCAGTGGAGCCAGGCGACCGTTGCAGCTTCAGAGTTGTGCTGCCCAAGGTAGCCTTTGGGATTGTCAAAGGGGGAATACTCTTACTTTTTGAGGTCTTTTCATGTTTACTCTCCCCGTCTTTAGCACCGTGCTTGGTCGACGTTCTTGGAGGATGAGTAAGAGGAGAGGATGGGATAGTAGGTTTGGGGGCAGAGTGTGCCAGAGAGGCTTTGCTCATGGCGCGCTGGTAGTTCACTGCGCTCACAGTGCCGTTAATGATGGCTGACAGATCATTCCGAGGCAAAGAATGCGGCATGGCAGAGTGCAGGAAACTCCTTGAAGACGGGACACTGTTTATGTTGGTTGGGTATGAGAAAGACTTGGTGTACATGCTCGACTTGGAGCTAATGGAATTAGACTTTGGAATCAAAGTGCTAATCTTTGTGGTCTGTATCACACTGCTGTTGGATCTGCTGGACGAAGCTGAGGAGGATGAAGCAGAACGGGCAACAGAGGAGTACGACTTTGACGTTTGAGATATAGTTTTGGGAAGCTGATGCATAGCAGTCAGCTGGGCCTCCACGGAGCTTCGAGGCTCCTCGGGTGATGAAATGGGCTTGGCCTTTAAAATATTCTTTGGCGGCTGTTTTATTGGAGGAGACAGTTCACGTGGTTTTGAGTTCATCTCTGGTTTGGGAGAATCTTTTTCTGAAG